GTTTTGTTGTGTGTAAGTAATAAAAAACTAAAACCCCCCAAAAAAAAAATAATTTTTTTTTTTTTTTTTTTTTTTTTTTTTTTTTTTTTTTTGCTGAAAGCACTGCATTTCCATGTGAGGAATATTGTGTGGAGCGTGAAATAGTTTCATAAAGCTTTAGGGTTGGAGGTGTGTTTGATTTATAAGTTTTTCACATCTGAAATGGAGGATACTTTCAAGCGTATAAATTTTTTTGATACCATCTGTTGTTTAGAAGCCAAAATGTGGGCTTCTGCATATATCAGAACTAATGGAAACCTAATGGGCCATCACAAAACACCATGAATATGAGTTGTGACATTTGGTGGAAGCAAACAATCCTGCATACAGTGACATGTTTTGTTTCTCATTATACAAATGACTTTCCTTTTCAAAGGATGGAGATTCTTCCCTCACTCGGTCAGATTTAAAATTACCTCTACCTATTCGCACTTTATTGCAATGAGAGAGGCTACCATCTGCCATCTGTCACTTTTTACAGTAAAATCTCTTTTTTTTTCTCTCTGTACATCTAACAAGATATCAGCCATAAATAGCCAAACTGCATGTATCTGTTGATGTGGTGCGCAACAATGTAGCAAAAAAATGAAAGCAAACAAATTTGAGATATGGGCCTGCATATCATTATGTGTTGCTTATTGTTCAGCAGTGAGGAGTATGTGTCTGCTTGTTCCTACTTAGTCACTTCAGTTAATAAAGTAAATAAATATACATTTTCACATTTTTTTTTAACATTACAACGACAATCTTCAATAGTGCATGGAGAATTTAGAGAGCTCCAACAATTTGTGTAGATGAGCTTGATTGACAGCACTAAAACCCTCCTCCTCACTCTGATTGGTGTATTTCTGCAAATGACAGTAGAACCAGAGGGAGGAGGCTCATGTTATGCTAAAACTATATTTTTATTAACATTAACTTTAAAGAGTAACGCTGTAGGTATGAAAAGTTGACGCAAGCTCACCATTAAATAGTCAGAAACTGCCTGACTTTATTTAGTCTGGCAGCTAAAGATTTGGGATGGGAAAGTGGATTACAGTGGAAAATTGAGTCATGTTGCACAGAAGAAAATCCATGAATCAGTAAATTCATGAATACTGAACCCTAAATAGGCTGCGTCCACTGTAGCACCATGAATATAAAAAATGTTCATTTACAAATGATCATATTGGTTATAAACTCAGAAACCCAGAACGGTATGTACTTCCAGAAGGAGCAAGTATGTCAATGGTATTCTCAGGGTGTTAAGTGTAAATAACAAGCTTCCTTGTAAATAACTGTGCAACAATGTGAGTATTTTTGTGTTTGCATACTGTTTCTATGCTGTTTTGACGTTATTTCTTTTTAAAATGCTCCAACTTGGGATGGGGTTGGGGCTTCTACATTTTTATTACCAGGACAGAATGAATAAAGCAAGATGTCTTTGTTAGCTTGACACACCTCCTTGTTTATCGCCGTGCCACCGCTTGTGAGCTGTAAAATATGTCTATGGATGACGCCTGTAATGGAAGCCTGCTATGACCTTGTCCTCCATGCAGACGGACTGCTCCAGTGACAGTGAGAGCGAAGATAACTTCATAGTTGTCCCACCACGAGACCACCTTGGCCTGGCTATATTCTCCATGCTCTGCTGTTTCTGGCCTTTGGGGATAGCAGCCTTTTACTTCTCACAGGGGGTGAGTCCACACACACACACGCACGCACACGCACACACACCTTCAAAGCTGCGGTCCGTTACACATGAATGATGCAGCATCTGTTTGTCAAGGTCTAACATTTTGTGCTTTCAAACACACAGAAATACACATTTTCATAGAGTCATCAGTGTGCACACACACACTCACATGCATGTTCCCGTTTTTTTTTTTTTTGGTTTTTTTTGTGGTGTGTGTGTCATTACCACAAGATTAGAACCATCACTACCAGTAGAAACCTTGCAACTGACAGTCCTAATGCAAGGCCAATTTTTATTAAGCAAGCCATCAATAACTCAAGGCCAATCTGTAAGCCTGATGCTCTGTAAACACGAGGAGAGCCTCCTTCAGTGGGAGTTCATAAATCACTTTTAAGGCTCTATCTCTGAACGCCAAGAAAGGAGGCTTTCAAAATCCTTAGGTGAGAAGGACCCTTTGAACTATTGCCGTTTTCAAGAGGATTAAAGATGAACCCAATTAAAGGTGTGCCGCGGCGTTTAAAAATGATGAGCTCTAGGAAGCATTAAACAGGCCTGTTTCAGCTGCTTTGCAGGAGGTTAGAGAACTAAATAGTTGGGAAAGGTGCATGAATACATGAACCATTGTCCAAGTTTTATTTCTTTTATCCACATTTGCGTTGTATTTTTAACTCTTTAACATAGACATTATGATAGCCTCACTAGACATTCACCGTGAAAATAAATGAAATTCATTTCTTTCAATAGAGTTTTCACATTTTCACTTTGATAGACAACATGCATTTAGGCTTTTAAGTCATTGACAAATAAATGCATTATTCCTATTGGGTGAAAACTATATACTGTTATCAAAATAATGTTACAAACTACTTTACTTTCAGTATCTGTTTCTTCTCTCTACATGCTGCTTACACTTTACACCCCCACTACCAACTACCCACCCTCCTTTACCCAGCTGACCTGTTTATGTTTCCAATAAAAATGTCTATTTTCGTCCTTAAGCTCTCCCGGATGGCAAATGCTTAGCCTCCTCAGCATCTTAAATTATCTCACCATCCTCAGCTAAAACTTTCCTACAACTAGCGCAGCCACATTCTTCCTTTTTCTGAGATACTCTCTTTTTTTGTTTGTTTGTTTGTGAGCAAATAAGAAGAAAATCACTGCATTTACAGATTTTTTACAACTAACTCTGTTAGTACTTTGTAGTTAGTTGATGTTACAATAACATAATTTTTACATGAAGGGGTCTTGAATGACAGTCATATGACAGAATATCCCAGAGGTGCTAACAATTTCGAGTTTAATGTCAGGATTAGCTTAAACACTAGGTTATGTAAACAAACCTAGTGTTGTCTTTTTGCTAACAGTATGAGCTAATATTAACTGGTTGAAAAACAGCTAGGCTATTGGCTTGGTTAGCTAGTTAAACTCTGCTAATCAAATATATTGCAGTAAACTTTAGACGTCCCAACTCACCTTCGAAAAAGTGTTACCTTAAGAATGGCGTTGATCGGTTTCTAGACCATGACTTTGTAGGAAAATGGCTACATTTCTTAGGAGTAATAAGAGTGACTGCGATGAAAGATGCAAAGAAGCTGGAAAATCTTTGATCCAACCTTTGCTCACTGTAGAAGGGTCTCTGGAAGTAAAGCATAACAATAGTATGGTATTTAAAAAAAAAAGTAAAGTTTCGGAGCCGTTTTAAAAACGGTAGCAAATTCTGAGACCAACAACTAGCCCCAGTTTCGTCCAATTAAATGGCTAATAAAAGCACAGACATTCAGGAAAATGGCTTCGAAATAGATGTTTGCTGTGATGATCACTATGCATTTGAACTTATTTTCTTGTTACTGGTCCTACATATGAAATTATAATAAATTACTAAATTAGTTAATGGATATTTGACCCACATTCTTTTATCGAAATTTACTGTTGAGATATAAAAGCCCACATCTGCCGTATTACACGTCCACCACCCCCGGTGCATTTGAGTTTCAACCAGTAACAAAAGATGCCTGTCGGCGTCCATCTAGACTTCCTCCCTCTCCCACGGTTTACAGGGAACGGCTTGAATGATGCCGCGTCGCATAAAGAAGACAAAGACCAGTCCTGTCTTGCCGCTAAGCGATTCTTTCCCGTGCATCATCAGCAGGACAAAGAGATAACATATTTAAGGGATATCATTAGCATACCCATGTGCTCACGAAAGCTAATTTAAAACCAGGCACTGTACCCGTGCATTTGCTGCGGATCGACAGCCATTTTACTAAATTGCCTTAGATGATAAAGCTTGAACATTTAACCATCTTATCTTTGGAGGCAAGGAGTTCAAGTCAGTTGGTGAATTATCTTGTCAGGAGCTAATTTGATTCTTCCTAAGCAATTATGAGAACATTGTGGCAGTGTTTAGGTACGGGGGATTTTTCTGCCAGTCTCCCTGCTTTAGAGGTTGCATCATAAGTAGAGCTGTCACGAAAGAACATAGAAGGAGTTTTAAATTACTTCATGTCACAGCTGAGTAACTCCCTGCTGTATCTTCATTTCATTCTTTTTTTTTTCCTTGGGAAGAACAGCCAATGAAAAAAGTGTATATTATTTAAACATATTTGACTGTGTTGAATGTTTTTAACTGAATACAGACAAAAAGTCAGGGGGAAAAAAATCCCTGGACTATTTATTGCCTTTGTTCCTTTTGAAATGTGGCCTAATTTTTAAATTATATAAAATAAACATTATTTTTAAATGATTGAATAACATTCCATGTCGGTCTTGCAAATAAGCAGTGAAAATGTGAACATTTCTCTCTTTTTTCTGTTATGGTGAAATAAATTGAGTCACTAAATCATCCTTCTGATCAGGATCAGTCTGAGATTATTGGCTAGTTTCTTGTAAAAATAACATTGTAGATTCAATTTTTTTATGGATATATCAACTGGAAAATGATGGAAATAGATAACCTGTCAAAAAGCACTGGGATCAGAACTCAAAAAACCAAAGTAACCTTCCAGATGGTTGATGTAATATTTAGGAGACGATGGATCCTCTGAATGGTTAAGAACCACCTGCGAGCATTTGTTTCTTTCTCCAAACATCATTTGAGGAAATGATTGCCTTTTTGTCGATGAATGACGAGAAAGCTGAGGAATTTCAAAGATTTCAATGATTGCACGTCAGCCTCACCTTTTTAGATGAGGACATCAACAAACAAATCTGTTTTTGACTGTAAATGTCTGCATACGGTCATGATGCGATACCTGAAGGTCGTGTTTAGTCAAATAGGTTCTGGAGAGAAGTTGAGTCAGGGCACCAGTATATAAATATATATATATATATATATATATATCTATATATATATAGATATATATATATATATATAAAGCACAAACACAGACATTGTTTGTCTGTCTGTTCCCTCCCAGCCAGACATGCCTAGGTGGGCCCCATGTGGGGACAAGGAGGGCAGACTATATGGGTCCCATATGGGTTTGTCCGCGGGTTCCACGATGGCCCCACATGGGTTTGCCCATGTAGGGCCACAGCCCACATGGGTGCTACATGGGCCCTAATTGGACAAAACCCATGTGGGCCACCACCATATAGGGCCCATGCAGGGCCCATGTGGGCTCTGGCCCTACATGGGCAAACCCATGTGGGGCCATCGTGGAACCCGCGGACAAACCCATATGGGACCCATATAGTCTGCCCTCCTTGTCCCCACATGGGGCCCACCTAGGCACGCTGGCTGGGCTCAAACAGCCCCCAAACAGCTAGATTGCTGTTTGTTGAAGAAAACATTTTAAATCCCTTGTAATGCTTTTATGAATTCAGGATTTGTACTAATAAGCCTGAAACGCGTACAACCGATAATGACTTAAGTACCCTGGTTACCTGAAGAAATTTTGTTTTGACTTTAGATCGTAAACTATCAATGAGTCCTCATTAATCTGACACTAATTGAGTGCGGGTTGCGTGTGGTGCAGATGGATTTCATTCCCGTCTCTGACACAGCCGTGGACCGCCGTGTGGAGCTGAGGGGGCCGGCAGTGATTCTGCTCTTGATTATGCAAATAAAACTCCGCCGAAGCTAGATTATGGCATACAAGCCATCGTAATGAATGAAAATGAATGAGCTAATTATTGTTGAGCAGTTAAATTGTCTGCGTTAAGGGCAGTCAGGACAGTGAGCATCAGAGATGGCGACCTTCCGCTTTGCACGTTATTTGCTCAGGAAAAAAACCCTGTTAACGCTCCTGAATTGACTTCTGACAGCACAACGCAGAGTGATCCTCCTTGCAGCCAAGACTGAGATGTTATCTTTTTTTATTTTTTTCCTATGACACCCCATTTCGGTAATTTTGTCAAGGTTGTGCAGATAAAGCCCAGAAGCTTTCTAACCATTTTGCTCTCAAGGGCATCCTGACATTCACATCGACATGCACTATTAGTCTCTCACAGTTGTAATCTTATAAAGCCATCTGAGAGCATTTCTTCATTTAGCTATAATCTTTGCATATGCGGAGTGCACCAACATGTCTGATCTTCTGTCAACACATAAACCTTTTAGATTTCATCCATTAGATAAAAAAAAAGAGGAATGTCTGCTTCCGCTCTACACTGATGGAGAGAACTATTTGCTGTTTTGGTAGTAGTCAGGATTTAGCTTTACTAGACAGCAACAAAAAGCAAAAAAAAAAAAATCCAAAAATGTTTGTCCTATTAAGTCTTTTTCAGCCACATGTCTGTTTTTCCTTAAAAAAAAATCTTGTTTTTCAGCCATGATCTGCATTGAACTGCATTATTAACTCTCCCATGAAAATATTCCTTGACCTCGACACTGAACCAGTTGTACAGTGGAAGAGCACACAGTGCACTTCTAAACGTGACTAAGTGCCTACTGAGTTCTTTATTTTTTATGACAATTTATGTCAGCGGCAAAGTGTTCTTGTTTTAGTGTGAAAGCATTCTAAATTGGTTTGCTGTTTACTGAAAACATGGTTGTGCATAACAGAAAAGCTCTCAGTGGAAAACAGTGAGAGCTCGTTTCACTTTTAATACACAAGTAGCTCATTTGCATATATGCTGGGAGTGGAGACGACTGTAATCACATTCTATTAAATGTTATTTTGTGTTCTCCTAACATTGCAAGCAGCTCGTTCTGGGTTTGGGCTACAGGCTTACCGCCTACAGGTTCAACTTTATATACACCAAAACTGAAACGTGACAACGAGATCCAAGAATTTCACACCTGCATTGTTATTTTTTATTTACTTATTTTAGCCCTTCGCAGTCTTCACAATAAATTGTACGGCTCACTGCTGAGACAGTAATAGGCTAGTTGTCATATCTACATCAAGATGCATATATCGGCCTCAAAGTGGAGACGCCCAGCTTCTCGGCAGAATCAGCAGAAAGTAATTAGCAGAAAAACTCCCTGCCCGTCTTAAAATAAGAAAATACGCCACTGCAAAAGATCAGGCTTGATTATGACTCAGAACATCTGACCCTCAGGCTGATCTCATCATACGCGGGCACATCACACGTTGTTGTTGAAATGAAGTCTGGAATAATGAAGGTCATTCCCCCACGCTGACATCCTGCACTTGCAGGCTCTGCTTCCACGCCGCAGCCCGACCCTCGTGTTAATACGCAGACGCGTTGAATTACGGTTTCTTTAACGGCAAACTGCACTCTTCACCCTGCCGGATCTCGTCAGCTGAGGACAACAAATGCGTAAATGTGTCAGCGGCACTGTAATTAAGCCAAACAGAATTAATGTGGTGAAGGACAGCGTCATTGGGAAACAGAAAAACAATTTGAAACGAGAATGAAAACACGATGGAATGATTCCTCCTTCCTACATTCTGTCAATTCCTCGTAACACTCCAGTACTCTGACAATGAACACGTCATAACGCATTAAATAACTAAATTAATTATGGGCGTTTGAGGACAGTACTTCAAAAGTTTTGTGGAAGTTGAAAGATTTAATGTGACACGGCTCTAAAAACAGGATCTACACTGGAATAACAATTACCTGCTACCTTAAGTGCTTCAAATAAAAAGTAGTAGCAAAAAACGAGAAAAATGAACGTTGCATTTCATTGCTAAAATTATTTTTTTCCCTTAAAGACCATAAAACGAACACCGACTGCAGTTTTATTTGATTGAAGTCACATTTGTGGCAAATCATCTTTTTCGTACCCTTAATTTTCCAATTTTTAAAAAAAATCATCCGCTTCACTTCAGATCTCAGAAAACACAAAGTTACTACTGAAATTCCATCAACAGTGTTCAGAGGAAGGCCCAGCAGAGACTCTACTTCCGGGCTTCTTCCCTCCATCCAGAACTTTTACAGGTCTAGGGTCAGGAAGACAGCAGCTGACATCTTTGCAGACCCCACACATTCTGGACACAGACTGTTAAGACTTTTATCTTCAGGTCGGCACTAATGGGGCAATATTTTCAATAATCATATGTCACTAAGACAGTTTCTTCCCCAGGGTGGCTCTCTGATAAAGATTGCATGTTTACACTATTTCAACCTTGTCTTCCTCTTCTGCATACGAATTTCCAATAAAAACATTTATTTTAATTTCCCTTCCTCCATATTTATATTTAAAATGTCTCCCTTGCGACTCAAAGCCCTTGTTGGTGTGCACAGATTTGGTGACTAAACCCGATTCTCAATCTGCTTCCCTTCATTTTCTCTTTTCCAGACCACCAAGGCGGTGAACAAAGGAGACTTCCCACTGGCCAACATCGCCTCCCGGAGGGCTTTGTTCCTCGCTGCCCTAGCCATCACTATAGGCACCGGTGTTTATGTAGGAGTGGTGGTAGCTCTGATTGCCTACCTCTCTAAACCAGGACACATATAGCAGAAGCACCCTGTTTTCCATCACCTCCTGGGAGCCTGGGAAAAAGAACAAACCCCCTCTGGGGAGACAGAGTTGCACCTGCAGACTTTGAGGAAACTTTTATGTGGATGTACAGTTTTTTTTTTCTGTCTTTTTTTTTCCATCCACCTTTCTCTCTTTTCTGCCTTCTCCTGTAAAATACCCTCTGGTGTCCAGGACAAGCCACAGTGACTAGAGACAGGTCAAGCTTCAGGGGAATGATGGGCGGCACTGGGGGAAAAAAAGGAGAACTTTGACTTATTTGGCTGTTTTTAACTCCACGGATGTGATGACAAAGTTTCCCGTTGTTTGCGTTCGGTTGACTTGATCCTCGTTGGCTTTGACTGGATTTTATCTTCCCAGGTTCCTAAACTGAGCTCCAAAGGAGAAAATAGAAAGCATAGTTCAGAAATCAAGTAACTATCATCATTAAAGACGGTTAAGAAATAATATTCTCATTTAAACCAACTCTGTATTTATTACAGCTAATGTTATATCTCAAACTTCTTTGGGCGGACTTGTCTTGCAGGTATGCCAGCTATGAATGCACCTTGGTCTTTGACTCATCAGCTTAAACTATCGGTATTTGTACTGCACTGACTTCCTCACAAACTAGGAATAAGATTAAGTATAAATGCATCTAATGTCCAGAAAATGTTGAGAAAGATCCTTTAATTTTTTTTCTCCTTTTGTCATGTCACAACCACAAACTTCATTGTAATTTGTTATTTTATGCGTAGACCAACACAAAGAAGTGTACTTTGTATCAACTGAGCTGTTTTGTGCAATAACCTTTTGAATTTAGGACTGACTGCATGGTTGGGGTCGTTGTACTGCTGAAGGTGGACATCTGCCCCAGTCTCAAGAGTTTCGGTGCATTTAGCTTTTCCCCAGAGTAAGATGCTACCACCAGTATTCAAGGTGGGGATGACATGAGTGTTTTGCAACGCTAGTTTTCTGCCAACGTGATTAAATATGCTCTCCTCTGGTTAGAGGACCTTCTGACACACGTGGGCTGTTATCCCACGTAGCTTTTGGCAAACTGCTAATTGGAAAATATGAGATTTTTAGCTATGCTTTTCTTCTTGTCACTTTTACAAGGTGAATGGATTTGTAAAGTGGAGTGCCATGACTTTTTAGTTTTGCAGTACTGCACTCTGCACCCTATGTATGATGAGTTAAAAATATCATGTCCAATGTTGAAAACTTGGGATTTCGTCTGAACAGCTACCCCCTGCTTTTATCTCCAGATGCTGCTAATTTTCTAGAGTTCACAGAGCAGTTGCAGGCAGATGGCCGTAAAAGTTTTTATCTGTGTATGCCACAGGAAATGGTACTGATCGCAAAGATACTAGACCGCTTGCAAAATTTGATTTGTCATTTTCTTTTAACTTTATTCCTAGGTGCTAATTTGCGTTGGTCATACAAAATCCCAATGAAATACAATGACGTTTGTGTTTTGTGAAATGACAAAATGTAAAAAAGCTAGATGGTTACTCCTTCAAGACACTGTACAGTAGAAGATGTTGATGGAGGTTTTTCTTCTCTTTAAAGTGTTAAATTGACACAAGTCACAAAAATACATATCGGTGCCTCAGTCCTGTATGTTTCCACAGAGAAAGTGTCCAAACACCACATGCACACCTGATGGGAGACCAAATCGCTGTGTGTCCTGTGGTTATAAAGGAGTCCTCACTAGTCTCACTTTAAAAAATGCAAGAAGCACAGATTTGAGTTATTCAGACGGTCTGAGATTTACTCCAAATAGTCTGTAAGGACCAAAAAAATAATATTTAAAACAAATCCTTACCCATGCACAGCTGACAGGAAGGTTATAAATCATGTAGATAATCTCATTTAAAAGAATGCCTTACATATTTTTCATGAATAAATGGAAAAATGCCATCTGACAGCGTTGAATTTTGCTCTAATCTGTTATTCCGTGCATGAGTCCTGCCGTGCCGGCAGTATACTGCAATGCATGACTGGTTGGATAGTATAACTTGTTTTTCTATGTCAGATAAAAGTTTAAACTGCTGTCAAACAGACCATACTTGCACAACTCTTGAATCTAAATTCCACTCTTCAGCTAGTAACAAAAAAAAAAAAAAAAAAAAATCTGAAAACATAGTTTGAGGCCATTAATGAGTGAGATCCGATTCAGGCTTCATTATTGTTTTCCGTCATTCCTTCAATAACTGTCATGGATACTCAAAAACGAAAAAAATAAATAAATAAAAAATTCTGGAAACGCAAAGAAATCTTAGCTGACTTGAATTGTTCTTCTCTGGCATTTCAACTGACTCTTGTGCATTGAAGCTTAGAAACCAGGCATATTGTTTGAGCGGTGAAGTCTCAGGAAGTTAGACGTTACATTTTCTGCACAGGTACTGCATTCTTTGCTCCGGGCAATTAGGCCGTAAAACAAGCTTTCCCCCAGAGAACAATCCTGAAATAACACAGCCACATTAATTTCATTAAAAAGCTACTTTTGGTTTTGCTTGTTGCTACCAAAACCTTTGCAAAAGGCAAAGAGTCGATTTCTTTAAGTGAAAGCCAGTTTTGAGTTGCCTTTTTTATTAAAAGCCAGATACCGATTTACAGCGTAATGCAGACTGATTGTTTATTTTCCAAAGCTTGTCTGAGTTTTGCTGATCTGAACAGACTGGCTTCATCGGCCCCTAAAGCCACCGACCCAGTTGGACCACAGAAACTCTGGACCTACAGATTTCAGTGAACACGCCCGTCATCCTCATCGGTGAAGTCATCGCTAAAGACGTTTTTCTCCGTTCTGCATACATGCATTCACTCATCGAGAGTGTCTTTCAAGCCTGTTTTGTTTTCTCACCTCCTACTGTACAGTACGTCAAAACGGTATGTGAACTTTGATGCTGCTGCTGCTTTTCTTTATTTCCCTTCCAGCGACGACCTGAGTCCACGCAACAAAACGATCCGTCTCAACGCAGTTCTTAACGCCGGGGTGATAGTCGTCTGTTTGTGTTGTGCTTATATGTCACATTTATGTTTCTGAGTTCTTTCTTTCTGTTTTTTGTGTGACTGCATCGTGTAAATAGTGTCAATAAGATGCAAACGCATCCTCAAATGTATTGAAAAATAAACCTGAACGGAAGGGTGTCTTCTTAAAAGCACAAATGTTTATTTATTTATTTATTTAGTTATTTATTTAGCTTGTTTTGTTCTTTGGGAGTTGAATAACTTGAAGATGTATAAATTATCTGAAACTATCGCCACAGCCTGAGAGAATTGAGTTCATAAAGCAAAAAGCAAAGCCAGACTGAGTCACAGAGTGTAGGCTGCTTTGCTAGGAAGAGACAGAAACTTGGATCTGAACCAGTCTCATTGATTTACGCAAGAAGTAAAGCTCCCTTTGTGTTCTTGGCGTTGCTGGCATGTAAATATAATACCAGCATCGAATCCACAATGCACAGGTACTGCATTTGTTATTTTATTTATAACAAACATGTTTGATCAGTTTTATACATTAATTTACTCTCTGAGTTCAATGCCCAGGTCCAAAGTGTTTATATCCAGTACATGTCAATCTGTTGCAACATTCTGTTAGTGTTAGAAAGCAAAGACCAGCTGATGTAGTTTTTGAATTTCAGACCCAAGCGCCGCATTATCATGCTTTCTTAAATGACTGCTCATTTCTGCACATTCACTTTTAACATTTCTTGTTATTGTCCACAGATGCATCCACATATTTATTGGCTTTTAAAACTCAAGAGTTGCTTTTTCAGTTTCATTGCGAGAGAATTGACTATATTCTGTTTTCATCGCCGTAACAAAGCATGATATTTCCTTATTTGGGAATATTTTAACTGAATTTGTCCAAATTACCAAAAATACAGACATGCAAAAAGCTGCTCGGGAATTATAAAAAAAAAAAAAGCTTTAAGTTTCCCATTGACTATTGAGAAGAGCAGAGCAATTTTACATTTGGATCCCCCCCGCCACCCCCCCAGGTCTTTTTAAATTGCTCAGTTATCTCTTGAGATTATGCTGAGCTCGTTGTTGTATGAGCTTCTTCCTTAGCGCATTTCTGGTAAAAACGTTATGAAAGGGCTAGCAGAGGAGCGGCATTGTGATCACATCCCGAGGGCGGAGTTTCAGAAAGAGCAGGAGTTTTTAAAGAGACCAATTTAAAAGCTTTAAATTACACAGGCAAATTTATTTTAAGTCATATTTGACATACGTGCAGCAATTTCATAACTAATGAAGGTAGCATAATGGTCACCATGCTCCTGGAAAGAAAACATGATACTGCCCCTTTAACGATTTTCCCAAAGAATCATCTTTCTTCAGAAGATTACTCAGTTGTTTGTGCTTGAAAGGACTTTGTAGAATCTGAATGTGCTTTGGACAACGGCTCCTTCTCTTGAGCAGTCTGAATACTTCTTATTGCTAGTCCTCTGCCACTGGCTCGCCACCTAATTACACTCAGCTTGGTACAGATTGAAGGGGCCTTCTCAGAAAATCAATGAACATTGCTCTGCTATTAGACACATTTATTAGGAGGACGGTCTCCACTTAACACCACTTAACGAATACATTTATGGCTGGGCCATGATCTTGCTCCACGCCCTGCAGATTCTTTAGCGCATTAAGGGGCAGGCAAGACGGTTCGTTGATGAATATGTAAAAAATAAAAAGCATGAAGCACAAAGCCTTGAGAGGACATAATGGAAAATGGGATCCTCTGGGACAGGTTAATGATCAGCCACCTTGCAGTTTAATGTCCTTTCAGATGGAATCACTGATCTACGGCTATGAATTGCAAATGATGAAGGAAATAAACCCGTGAAGACTTAATTATTCTTTGTGGGTCAGGCTGTGTCACGGTACGTGCACACACTGCAGGAAACCTGAGTTTGGTTCCAGCTGTGGAGAAGTTTTCTTCGCAAGAGAGGAAAACATCTCAGGTTTGCTGTCACTAAACAGAAGCTGCAGAAGAACAGAGATGCTTTCGAAGTCACGAGGAGCGAGCAATACTCATAAACAAACAAAATTAAAGGGAGGTTGTTTTTTTTTTGTTTTGTGTTTACCAGCATAAACAAGCAACGTTCAACAGCAAGTGGGCTGCATTAATGAGCACATATGGATCAAAGGAAACTGGTTGTGTTTTACAGAGTTCAGGAAGTCTAGCCGAAAAATATAAAAAATAAAGATGATGTGTTTCTAAAATAATGTGATCTTGTGTGTCCAATATGTGCATTTTGATGGACTTTTTCGTTTATGCTCGCACGTACCATGAAAATTATTGCAAAAGTGATTAAACTCAAACGGGATATTCTTGATTATGCGACATAAACAGCCTCTTTGATCCAGATGTTGCTTGTTTTTCTCCTCTCTAAACGACTCGGGTGTCATGACACCAAGAAATTAAATTCATACACGTTAATATTAAAGTGCCACTGCTAATATGCTTTAAAAAATGAATAATGTTAGATTTGCTTGCCTCTTATGTTCTGATGTTTCTGACAAGTTTGTTTCCCAGGCGTTGTATTTCACCCAAGGACGGCGCAGCACCCAGAAACCCTGTTTTACATGTGCTGACGATCACCCACCCACATGACAGCATGTGGGTAATCATCACAACACAGTTCAAATAAATATTGCTGTAAACCGTTTTGTTCACAGACCGATTAAGGAAAAAAAAAAAAAAAAGACATGCGGAGCAGCTTCCAAAACAAGGCATTTGTGTTTTGATTGCAATGTGTGTGTGTGTGTGTGTGTGTGTGTGTGTGTGTGTGTGTGTGTGCGTGTGTGTGTGTGTGTGTGTGTGTGTGTGTGCAAAATGTCCCTCAGCGAATTTCTATTGGAACCTGACTCCTTTTTTTTTTTTTTTTTAGCTCTTACCATATAAAATCTAAATTATATTTAACTTCCCTCAAAGGATTTCTGAGGTTTGTTTTGGGAAAATAAGTTGTGTTTCTCAAAACCGACAAGCGAGAAACTTTCCGCTCGTCACATCATCGAATCCCTACGGCTGTGAAAACTAAAAAAATTAAAATCACCACATTGGGCCTAAACATCACTTTGAGCTGATAGCACGGTGAGCAGGTGTTGGTTCTGTGTATTGCGTTGTGAATACGAAGTGGAATATCATTTCGCCATGTTCTCAGATGAGGGGGAGATTCTTCTTCTACGGCGTTGAGTGAATCTTTCCGATAACTGGCATCCACTGAATCACGGTTACTACGGCTGTGTCAGGTTTTGACCAAAACGCAGCCGTGAACTTAGAACTGGACAGAAACTTGGGTTTGAATGGAGAAAACAGAACGTAGAGCACGAGCAGAGCAGCAAAGAACAATGAAAACCTGTGAGCTTACCTATAAGGTTGAAAGTAGAGAATGACATTGAATGCTGGTGAGTCAGTCATGGGATTGGGAACAGCTGTAGAAGACGACAAACAGGCAAACTGAGGAAAGGTGAATACATCACAGCAAACGAAGTTGGAATGGATACAACAAAATTGTAAAAGAATGACTAAAACTGATAAAAGAGAAATAAATCAAGAGGCATAAAGAGCAAACTAGAGAGGAATCCACAATCGTAACACGTTTCTACTAATAATGAACACAAAAAAATGAAAGGAATACAGCAAGACCTTTGAAGAAATAAAAAACTCGGAGGAGATCAAATGAAAAATAAAACACACAAGGATCATAATAAGTTCATTCCTGGTATGACTGAGGGCCGTCCAGGTACCACCACTGGTTCTTGTACCACTGTTTCAGAACCACAGCCGTAAAGGTTAGAGATAACATTGTTTCTAATGTTAATGTGCTGTATCTCTATACATGCTGCATGTTTCCCTGTATGTATGAATATGGATCTATGAATTACACTCGACAGACTGTATTTCTGTTTTACGCAGAAAACACAGTCACATTTGGTAACTGCTTGCAATGCTGGCAAAATTATGGATTTTTCCCATTTTGAATAGTGACATTTTACACAACAGTTGCTGTACAGTAGCCCACTGTGTGCAACATATTTAGTAGAATACAGATCCTCAAAAGTACACAGAAAAAATGGTTTGAAGCCAGCATTATGTTTTATTTGCAACGCAGCCTTGCATCGGACCTCTGACCTGTCCAGGGCGAACTCCACCTGTCGGCCGCTGACTGCTGGCGAAAGGCACCCGCCCCCCTCCAGATCCGTCAAGGATACGCATGTGGCTCTCAGAGAAAATGGCAGCAATTTCGAAAGATGTTATCAATCTTTTTTCCCCTGGCTTTAATGTAATAATCCAGTGTTTCATCTGAATGCTTATAAGTCTGACCTTGGGGAGAGTTTGTGGGAAAAACAGCCGTCTGTATGTAATGTCTGTCACTTCAGGATACATTTTCCCATAATAGAATGACTCAGGCATTATTTTTAGTTTGCTTTAAAATTCTGTTGTATCCCTATCAAAATTATTAGTCGGGGATTTTTTTTATTTTTTTTAGTTTGCTTTCAGTGCCAACAATTTGCTCAGCATGAAT